AATTATTGAATCCCAACACGATGGCGTGTATTTCAATACTTGGAGTATGTATTATACTGTACTTTCTTATCTGCGATTAATCAGTGGACCTTTCAGTAGTAGGCGTATCGTAGAAGAGAATTAATGGGCATTGAGCTCCGAAGTACTGTAGAAGTACAGAAATAATACAGTGTTTTTTTGTGGATGAAATATGGGTATATAGAACGACTAGGAAAAAGGTGTGATATCGAAATTCCAGAAGAGGAAGCATGTTATAAAGATATCCTGCTTTCTTTCCTGTATTTCTTATTTAAACCGGATTTAAACTTTCAAAACTTTTCTACAATGTGTATTTAGGCTATATCAATACGGTATTGCGAATGCATCAATAGTCAATCAGTCAATTGATTGAATAACGCTTTTGTATCATCGGCATACCTTCTATAGTGTAACCTTACAATGACTAGTATTTTGTTACGTTTCTTCACAGAGGGGGGTTCGTCCGAACCCCTTGAACCGCCCTAGATCCGCCACTGCTTTCCATTGACGCCAATTATGACCATGTTTTATGTGGTGCGTCAGCCATCTTGAAATTCAAAATGGCGGCCGATGACTTTGGGGAAAAAATGGCACCTAACTTTTTTTGAATTCAGCGCAGTAAAAATTATAAAATTAGTCAAAAAAAATCTATTTTTGCTCAAAAATCTATCTGGATTACATAGAAAACTAGCTTATATACTCGTTCTTATTTTATGTACATTTTAAGTAAGTATATTTTGCGATTATCTTTAAACAAATAAGCACCTATTTTTTATATATGTTCCATTCTGGCTTGAGTGACAGTAGGTTTTATATGTCTAGATTGTTGTCTGTCTAGAAATTTCGAGTTTAGACACCAAAATCATATCTGTAACTTATTTAGTTTCAATTTTATGCACATTTTAGATAAATTTGGCGGCCATTTTTCAAAATGGCCGCCATTTGTATACAAGGAGTAAAATCAAGAGTCAACAGGGCTTAGGGTGACCAGAAGGGATTAATTAGGATATCTGGCTATGTGGATTGCTTCTAACTTTCCACTCCCCCTAACTCATTTTTTTTTTTCAGATTTTTTTTCTAGTCTAAAAGTGTTGTACTAATCTTTGAAATACTGTAATACCAGTTTATGGGTTTTTACAAGTACATCAAAATCTTATTTCCTGGCATTAAAATTTGCGTTCACTCATGCTCATACTAACAGTTATTAGCATCATTTTAAAAGTGACTTCAGGTGTTCGAAGGATCTGCACATAAGATGAACATGATTTAAATAAAAAATGTGTATATGTTGCATATTAAATGTGTATATAAGACGACCCCCTGTTTTTTGACCAAATTTTGCTATTTAAAGCCTCGTCTAAAAACGGTATGGGCTCTCATTGGCAAAAGTCGAGACCCCGGACCTCAGAGTACCCCGAAATTTATATTTACATTTTTTCCAGGACAGGACTCTATTTCAATCAGTAAGCCGACCCCAAATCGTATTTAAAAGGTTATAAAAAATACATCAAACTACTTATTTATGTCCAAAATAGCACCACTGGGGCCCTGCACGACACCTAGGGCAATAGAACTCTAAAGAAAGCATAGTGCGTGTGGCCCTTTCTCATTACGTCACCGAATGTGTACGGCGTTATTTGTTTAACTTTAAAATATTTGTTTAAATTTGTTAAATTTAAATCTGCCACCTGGAATTGAATGACAAAATTTTTCAAAAAAAAAAAAAAAAAAATCATAAAGTTGGTTTTCAACTGAAAATTAAACAAGATATTGTTTCACTAATTCATATTGTTTACTTTAAGGTCTACTACAAACACTTTGGTAATAATACGTCTATTAATCATTAACATTTGTTTTTCTAAAATCTGTAACTTACCGTACTAAAAGTTGAAAACTAAATGCTAAATGAGCGATTGCAAGTTTAATTGTTATAATTTTATCAAGATAGTTATGTGTAAAATATCTATTTTTTGTATATTTCCCTACATTTCAGAAGAAGGATGGAAAATTAGTAGTCAGAAATACAGTTCGAGATAAAATTCGGCCAATTACAGTATCTAATGGTGCGGCTGTATCAAGACGAAAACATAAATTTGAAATCGTGGTAAGCTTATAATAGGCTCATAATGCACCGTAGATAGTTAAAATTATATTCAGTTATTTATAAAAGCCACTTCAGCATCCAATTGAGTCCACAATGGCAAGGGCTGTTAGATGGACCAGTACACCATGGTCACCACCTACTCGTCTCGAAAGAGGAACTAGGGAAGTGGGCGCACTTTTGCACTCTTTATATATGAGCCAATTGCGTACACTGGGTAAGCGTGCCAGTCGAACCAGGGCTGATATTAGCTGTAGGTTGCGGCACCCCTGCCTTTACGATGAGTCGGCCATTTGACTCGCCAGTATCAGTAGTAGTTGCCAAACAAAATTACGTTAGACCTATAGAAACAAGACCCTTGGGGTCTCTCTTGTATCCTTATAGTTTAGTTAGAGAGAGGTTGTGGAGTATAAAACCAAACTTAAAAACTTGTGTTTCTGTTAGTCAGGCGGGGATGGGGGAAGGATAAGGAAATATGGGAATACTGTGCTATGATGCCCTATTTTATATATATATATTTTTTTAACTGTTTTTAGAAGTTTAATGTCCAAAACAAAAGAAAAGATTTCTTTTTGGTGGTTTGACGAGTCGTGGCTAAAAAGAGGGTTTTAAGCTCCATGTCCCCTCGCTCGCGCAACTGCTGTTTTGTGGGGTGGGGGTTTATATATTGTAAGTCAAACTTAGCCAACCTCGGTCTAATAATAATGAAATATAGAGACGTTTTAGATAATACAATATATAAACTTTAAAAAATGTAATTTATAACACGGCTTGTATGTTGGTGTTTTATTTTAATTTGTTTTGTTAAGTTTTTTTTAAAGCTTTTTAAGGTGTAGTACATCTTAAGTGCTTTTTAATAAATAATAGGCCTACATTTAGCAGATTAGTTTTGTTCTACTGTATATGTTAAACAGCTAATCATTGTACTCACATTATTTATATTTATGGAATTATTTTATAATAATAATTGTTATAGCATTATTATTTGATGATAATAATTGTTATAACATTATTATTTGATGATAATAATTGCTATAACATTATTATTTGATGATAATAATCGGTATATTAGTATTATTTGAGGATAATATTTGTTATAACATTATTATTTGATGATAATAATTGTTATAACATTATTATTTGATGATAATAATTGTTCTAACATTATTCTACATTGATCTTGTCAGGCCACGTGCAAGTCGGAAGTCAGCTATAACGCCGATATTAAATTGAATCCCGACTCTGTCCAATCTCCGCCGTTCGGTGTACACGGGATGTTCGACGTTGCAGCATCGATGGCTCTGTTCGCAAATGACGCCTACGATGACCGCTACGACAGTGGAGAGGATGAAATTGATATCAGAATGAACCAACGGCTTTACGTCTCGGTTATGGCTAACCAAGAGGACGTTAGCTTGAAGGTGGAGCAATGCAAAGCGCATGCAGTGGACAACCAAGGCAACATGTCTGATGGAGAGTTTATATTCTTGGACAATGGGTAGGGATTGTGCAGTTTTTAGAGGCGGGTCACAACATTAGTTTCATTATAGGCCTATTATTATCATTTTAAGATTGATAACTGGGCTTAAATGTCTCTCTGGACCTATCTCTAAATCATGCTTAAATAAAGTCATTTACAGCTATCGTATTTTAGAGGATGATCGATGTTTAAAATGTTAATGTACTTTGAGGACTTGGGATTTACCCCTTACTGAAACTTTTATACAGTCACAAATTTATTTCTTTTTTGTCTGTTGTTGTCACAGGTGTCCGAATGACGAGACATTGCGGTTTGAGAATTCGCCAGCTCCTAACGAAAAACGATTTTCGTTAGAAGCATTTACGTTCATGTATACCGGAATAAAGGATAACGTAAGTTCGTATTTATTAGTTTTTTTAAAACTCATAATGTATTTATAAGATAGTAGAGATAGCCTCTTAGAGTTTAAATCTCTTTATTGTATTATATTTTTCTGGTTGAAAAACTTTTCAATTATATATCCTATTTAACTCCATACAGGCTTGTTTCAGGTAAAAAATTGTGTAAGGCCCTATAAAAAATATTATTAGTTTATCACGTTATCTATGCTGAAAAAGTAATAAGGGAAGGAGGCTTTTTTATTTTTTTATTTTACTAAAGCCGAAAATAACCCTTGCGTTATTTGATGGTGCATTGATATTCAAAGTAAAACATGATTGAGATAATACAAGCAATATATG